ACACACACACACACACACACACACACACACACACACACCTGGTATACTTCATAAGCCAAGAAAAATAATAAAAAACATTTTAAAACACCCAATGAAAAATAATTCAGGAAAAGAGGCAAAAAAGGGGCTAAGAATAAATGATAAAAACAGAAAACAAAAGAAAGTGGTAGATTTGAACCCAACCATATCCATAATCAAGTTAAATGTAAATAATCTAAATAACATTCCACAGATTTTTAGATTGGATAAAAGAGCAAGAGCAAATTATGTTATCTTCAGGAAATCCCCTTTAAATACACAGACTCAGATACATTAAAAGTAAAAAGATGGGAAATAAATACTGTAGTAACACTTCCTAAAAGAAAGCTGGAACGGCTATATCAGACAACACAGATTTCAGGAGAGAACATTACCAGCGATAAAGAGGACCAATTCATAATAAGAAAGAAGTCTGTTTATCATGAAGAAATAACAGTTCTACATGTTTATCCATTTAATAACAGAGGTTTAAAAATACATGATAGATCTGAAAGAAAAAATACAAATTTTTTAGTCTTCAACTACAATTCTAGCTGGAGACTTCAACATCTCTTTCTTTTTTATTTTTAGAGACAGGGTCTTGCTCTGTCACCCAGGCTTAATATAATCATAGCTGGCTTGATATAATCATAGTGCGGTGATATAATCATAGCTCACTGCAACCACAATTTCTTGGGCTCAAGTTATCCTCCCACCTCAGTCTCTCAAGTAGGTAAGACTACTGGTGCATACCATAACACTTGGCTAATTTAAAACTTTTTTTTTTTTTTTGTAGAGGCATGGGCTTTCTATATGGACCCTGGTCTTGAACTGGTCTTGAACTTCTGGCCTCAAGTGATTCTCCCACCTCAGCCTCCCAAAGTGCTGGAATTACAGGCATGAGTGACTGTACCTGGCTACACCTCTCTCAATAATGAATAAATTTATAAATGGATGTTATTAAAGTTTAAAACTTCTGCTCCTTAAAAAAAACACTGTTAAAGAAATGAACAGGAAGTCACAGAGTAGGAGAAAATCTTGGCAAAACTGTTCAACAGAGACATTTTACAACTCGATAGGATGACAAACCACCAAAATGTTAAAATAGGAAATATCTTTGAATAGACTTTTTACCAAAAAAGATATACTAATGGCAAATAAAGACATTATGTTCAACATTTTAGAGTAATGTAAGCTAAGACTACCATGAGAGACCATTACACACTGTTTTAATCACCACCTCTTCACCACATTGGTGAGGGAGGAATTCCCACCCTAGGGTTATGGGAAGGCCCAACACAAAACCCAGCGCCAGGCAGATGAAACTGATAACAGCTTATTAGTCACATGTACTCACAGCTTGCAGGGGAGGACACTCCATGCTCTAGGGAGGTTGCATTTGGGAACAGAAGACAGCTGAGAGATGTGGGAGGCAGAGTTTATAATATGAAGAGGGTGACACATTCCCTGGTTCTCACAGGAAAATGTGATTGGTTTCCTGGAATAATTTCATAGCTGGCATGGAATTGAAACTCTGCTACTCAGGGGTAAGTGTCTGGTCCCTCTGTTAAGGAGAGGTTGTTTGGCTAGGGTACTTTACCAATGGAAGGAGAGTGGGGAGGGGAATCCTCTGGTTAGGCCATTTGGGACTCTCTCAGTTTTACCAGATATCAAGACAGTATATAGCATTGTGCCTTAACTTTTGGCCTTACACCACACACATTCACTAGAAAACTGAAAAAATCAAGCGTTGGTGAGGATGCAGAGCAACTGAAACTCTCATACATTGCTTGCGAGAAAAGCAAACGGGCCAGCCACTTTGGAAAAGAGTTTGGCAGTTTTTCATGAACTTAAACATAACTCTACTATTCAACCCAACCATCCCACTTATAGGTATTTACCCAAGAGAAGTAAAAACATGTTTCCAGAGACACATATTCCAATGTTCATAGCAGATTTATTTATAATATTTAATACCTCCAAAGTAGACATATCACAATGTCCATCAACTGATGAAATTATTGTATGTTAGCACACTGAAATACTGACTGGCCATATAAAGGAATGAACTGCTACATACAACAACACAGATGAGTCTCAGAAGCATTATGCTACAGGGAAGAAGCCAGACACAAAGACTAAATATGGTATGATGATACTCATATAAAACTCTAGCAACAGCAACATTAAAATGACAGAATGCAAAGCAGTGGTTGCCGAAGGACAAGGTGAAACTTGCCTTGCTTGTAGTTGCTTGCTTCTAGTTGATTTTAAAACCTACATAGCTAAAAGTCATGCAATTAAGCAATATGTAACTAAACTTCCACTGGTTTCCTTATAGATAACATCTCTGATGTATAAGTCACCATAGTAATGGTTGCTTGTTTTTCAGGAAATTAGGATCAGCTCTTGTCTAGCTCAAGCTGACTGATACCACTGACCCTCCAATTGGCCTGTATAAATGTCCAAAGAATGTCCTTTTGACATCAGAGGGCCCAAAACTCCACCCTCAGATTGTGCTAATAATACCATTTTGGGAACATGCATCCTTTGAAAAGCAATGAAGCTTAACTGCACTTGCAGAGATTGGCAATTATCTCACTTTTTACTACCAATCACCTTTTTCCATACCTTGGACTGCCTTGCTCCTTTATCCCATAAATATCCCTAAGACCCTAACTTCAAGGAGGAGAATTTGAGGGGTGTTCTCCCACCTCCTCACTTGGATGCCTCATGAATAAAATCTTTCCTCTACTGCAAAACTTACTGTCTCAGTGATTGGCTTATTGCAGGATGGGCAAGAACATGCCTGGTTTGGTATCAGAGGAATGACTGCAGAGAGGCATGTTCTATATCTTACCTAAGGTGGTGGTTATATGAATATATGACTTAAATTGGTTAATTTTATTGTATGTAAATTATTACACAATAAAGGCTGATGAAAAAATATGAAGGGGGAAAACCTCTAAAGGCCTTAGGTTTCTATTATCAATAATGTCTCAGGGAAGCTGCTGCTTCAAGCAAGCATAATACTCTGAATTTCTGCTTTCTCTTCTTTTGGCCTTCAGGGATTTATTTTAGTTTCCTGTGATAGCTATGATAAATATTTATTATGTCTTTTTCAAGAATGTTTGATGATTTGTTGCAGGAGTTTTTTTACATTTTTTAATACCTTGTATGCCATAGTTCTCCAAGTAGAAATCTCATTTTCTCTAAAAATTTGCTGCCTTTTAGTGCTTTAAATGAGACCTGTATACTTTTTTGAGTAAATTTTCAAAAATATCATAGTTCATATTTCCTCACCTTTTTATTAGGAAAAACTCATAGTTAGGCTCCAAAAATACCAGTACTTAAAGTACAGAGAAACTATTTTAAAAGTTACCAACTTGGGCATTAATGCTACATAGTATATTCTACATTTAAATATATTACCAAATACAGAAATGTAGTGTAATGATAAATAGTTGACATTAGATTAAAATGGAACTAATTTGAGATATTGAATTTAGAAATCAGTAATGGCTGCCTACAAAATTTGAATTCTATTGTAATATGGGGGATGGGAGGATGTCTTAAGTGTTTGTCAAGCCACAAAATAAAATGAGAATGTCCTATGTACCAAGCATTGTGCTAAGCATGGAGGATATATCAGTAAACATAATTCAGAATCCCTTTTCATGTAACACTCATACTTTAGCAGGGAGAACAACCTTAGCAACAATTGCAAATAGTAGGTTTAATAATGTACAAGGTGAAATAAAATAAAAATTACAGGATGCTTTTAATAGCATAAACAGGGAATCTAACCTATTCTAGGGACCTAGGCAACATTATTTGGAGGGAATTATGTTTAATCTGAAACCCCTAGGATGAGTAGAATTCCATCAGCTTATGTGGTTCCTATCATCAGCCAGATGATAGGAAATTAAAAGTTGAGAATAATGAACATTTTAGGTGATGGAACAGCATTTGTAAAGTCATGGAAAGTCCAGCACACTCAGAAAGTGAAAAAGAATATATAAAAACTGAAGGTGGCAGAGAACAGTGATTTTTTTTTAAAAGGTGCAAAAGTGAGAGGATAATTGGAATACTGAAATGCTTTTAAATTTTAAACATTTTTCTGCTTTCTCATGGCAATGTGAAAAAATAAATTTTAAGCATTTTGATGTTTGTTATTTATGTTCATTTAAAAGTTCTCAGCTATAGTGTTGTTTTAAATCTCCTAGTTTGAATATCAAAAGGAAAACAATGATCAGAATTTAAAAACACTAGTCAGATTCTCACCCAATAAATCAAGAGCTTACTAAAACAGAAGATGGCAAATCTGAAGGAAGACACACATTGATCGGGTAAAGCTTATGAACTCTTAGTAGTTTCTGTTTTCCTCTCCTCTTGCTCTCTTTGCACCTAATTCATCTATGGAATCTGCTTTCTAAATATTGTATTTTCTTAAACTTAAGATGCATTTTTTACTCTTTCATTTTAATACTACTCAAATGGGGTTGTACTTGACAAATGGTTTTTAGAAAAAAGTTGGTAAGATCACTGAATTTTAAATTAAATGTGAAATACGGATCCCTCATAATTGCTTTCCATATCTTCAGAAAACTCACCCTGTGACACAATACAGAAAAGTAAATATGTAGGCAGAAGACTACCTGTTGTACTTTGGGCAACATAATTTAAAGAAAAAACTAGAAAATTTCTCAGCATAAACACAGGTATTTCAAAGATGGAGAATACTGGTGTGAATTGTGCATGCTTAGTAAAGAATCACTATTGATGAGGACCAAAAAAGTTATTTGTACAAAGCTTAAACCCAATTTTGAAGAAAGAATGTTTTAAATCATAATTGTGTATCATTTGACTGAGGAAAAAAAAATCATTTAACTAAATGCACTCAAAACCCTAAAACTCTAACCAAAGGTGCTAAGGAGTCCAAGATGCTGAATATGAATTATGTAAAGCTGTATATGCTTAGATGAAAGCAATTCAGGAAAATCTGAATTTGAAGGCTTAGATTCAAATGTTAGTTATGATAATAAAACAGGAAGTATGTTAATGTAAACTAATGTTTCTTGAACTTAAGGTAACTACAAATTTCTTTGGGTTCTTTGTGTAATGCAGCATCTGATGTAGTAGGTCAAGAGCATGGCTTGAGATTTTGCATTTCTAACAAGATTCCAGAAGAGGACCAATTAGGCAAGATATCAGATTAAAACTAGTGTAGTATCTTTCTATCTCCTAATGCAAATACTAAATCGAAGACAGTCCTTATACTACATTCGCTCCAAACCCCATTATTTCCCTCCATCTCCACTGTCATCATAATTCAAGTCACCCTTACTATATGTTTCTTCAATTGCTGTAATAGCCTCCCACTGGTTTCTCTGCCTCTAGTTTTACCCCCTTACCCATTCTCCATATTAAAGCAGTAAATTAAATCCTTCAAAAACTCAGATCTGGTTATCATATTCTGCTGTTTAAATGTTTCAGTAAATAAGATACAAGCTGTCCCTTAGGCCTGTGTCAACTGACCTCTAGACACACACACACACACACACACTGCACACTTAGTATGCTAGTCCTAGTGAATCTCTTTCAAATTCAAATGCTCTTCCTTGTAAGTCTTTGTTTACGCTAGTCCTTTTGCTCAAACCATCTGCCCTGGCTGTACTCTATTCAGCCTTTAGGAATTAAGATAAATATCACTTCCTTCCATGCTATCAGTTTGATACCTGATTCCAAATCCCATTATTTCCCTCTATCTGATGCCTCATTGGAATGCCTTATTCTTCTCTTATCACAGTACTACACATTGCTATTGCTTATTTAATTGTCTTTGCTACTTAGCTATTAGCTCAGTAAGAACAGGAACCATTTCTATCTTTTTCTCTGCATATATCCACTGCTGGGCACACTGACTGGCATTAGTAGACACTTTAATCAACTTTCATTCTAAATGTATTCATTAACCTATCAATGAGCTAGTCATCTCTGGCCAACTCTTTGCTAGAATTCATGATTATATTTTTCTTCTGTCAATACATTTCTTCCATAGAAAGAATACAATATGATTGACCAGGCCCTAGCTTGATAAAACCTTGCTTATCTGGAACACTAATTATAATGTATTTGATATTCATTTAGTCAACAAATAATTATTAGTACCATTTAGTCTGTAATGAATAATGATAGGCACTAGAAGAAATGAACATTAGAAAAAATACTGAAAGCTGGAAGACCAATGAGAATTAAAGTCATATAAATAAAGTGGGTACAAAAATCAAATGTATGAAAAGGGCACTAAAGCAGCAAAGAGACAGAAGTAGATAATTTGGACTCTACAGTTGAGAAAAGCTTTTCCAAGAAAGGTACTGGGTCTTTAAGGATAAGCAGAAACTTGCCAGTTGAAAGGAAAAGTCATTCTAGACAGAAGAAAGAGTGTCTGAAAGCAGATTTTAAGAGTTCTGTGTATTTAGGTTCTCTATAGAGTTATAGAAGATGACACTGGAAAGAAAGACTTCAAAAAAAGATCTTTGCTGTCCAGCATAAGAAGCTGGGCTCTACGCATTAGGAATAAAAGAAACACAAAGATACATTTTTAGCAGCAACATGGCATAATCAATTTCAAATATATACACACACACACTTTGGTAGTGGCATGGATACATTGAGAGGCAAGATCAGTGAATAGTGCAAGTAAAGAATGAGAAACCTTGAATACAGTGGCCATGAGAAAGGAGATAAATGTATGAAATAATATAAAAGATAAAGAATAGAGCAGTATAAGTAACAGGGCTTAGGCAGGGGATGGATTATTAGTAACAGTAGCAGTAGCAGCAGCAGCAGCAGTAGCAGTAGTAATCTTTGAGGGAGATTCTATATACTGTTTTTGACGGTGAAGTGTGGCAGAATATGCCACCATAAAATATGCCACTTTGGCATAAGATTATTTTGAGCTAAAGGAACTTGAAAACCAGCAGATGCACCAGGAAAAAAGAAACATTCTTATCACCAAGCAGAGAAAACTTACCTGTGAAAGATGCCCTCCCTGTACAAGGAAAGAAGAAACACTCTTATTACCAGAGATGAGTTAAAGTGGAGAAAAATCCGTACAAATGGTCTTTGTTAAAATAACTCTTACCTTCCTTTAGTCTTTTCATACAGTTACTTTTCCACAATTGCTACTCTTCATTCAACCCACTGTATAAGCATTTAGGTTTTGCAACTTCTTTGGGTCTTCATTTTCCTATGGAGCACCCACGTACATTGGAAAATCCATTTGTTTTTCTCCTGCTAATTTACCTTACATCAATTTAATTATCAGGCCTAGCCAGAGACCTTAAGATGGTAAAGTTTTGCCTCCCATACAATAGCAAAGGGCACGCAAACAAAACATCCTCCACTTCATGAGGACTTACAGAAGGTAATGCTTCCTCATCAAAGTGGGGAATGGGAAAAATAGAAAAAAGTGAGCCAGTCATGGGTCTAAAAATGATCAATCTTTACTCTAATTCAGATTGACAGTTTTATCACTGTAATTACAAATAACTATTCCAAAGTTTATTTTAAAGCCTTTTTTCATAAATATCCTAATATACATAGTCTTAGAAAACCTCAGAAGTTTCAGAGACAAGGTAACAAAAATAGAAATACTGTTAATGGAGGACCCAGAAAGGTGGTCTACCTGGGGCAAACATTACTGGAAAAATGCAAAAGTCCATCTACAGGGACGGTCAAGAGACATAAGAAACACATACAAAATTCTGTTGCATTGTCACAAGTGCCTCTTAGGGTTTCAACAACAAACGAATTGAAGAGCTACATCTCATGATTTAATAAGATGATTTGCACTCCAAGTACATAACAACTTAGGTGAACCAAAGGACTGAAACAAAGGATTTGCACTCCAAGTACATAACGATTTAAGTGAACCAAAGGACTGAAACAAATTAGGAACTATTCCAAAATATTCAGCCTTCTCATCACTCTGATTCCCCAACTGTTCAACTTTCCGGTGATTCTCTAGGTTTCTTCTTACTACCCATCTCCCTAATGTAAAATTAAAATAATTTATGCATTTGAGATGCTTATTAAGTACTCTGTTTTTAATTTTAAAATGTTGAGATTAATATTTTACACTTAAACAATTAAAAAGCAAAATCAAATCCAACTTTTACTAGTAATTTAGTGGACTTTGCTGAGGAATAAAAAACAAAAACCAAACCATATATTCTTATATAGTCCTAATTCCCACAAATATTATAAATAAACATAAATCATGATAAAACTAATATGAATTTTAAAAAATTTCCTCTTCAAAAGTAAGTATGCATGTTCCGAATGTGCTACTGCTATCAGTGCTGTACTGATTTTCCAGGTTTCTTCTCTGAGTAGTATAAGAAACCTGCCCGACACAATTAAAGCTTTAATTTTGTAGTTGACTGTTTTACATTACCTCTACTTCACCTTTTTTATGTCCTTCAGTTTCAAAGAAAGGAGACAAACCTGGGGAATTGTTAAAAAGTAAAAATCAAAGTGACAAGGTTATTTGAGTTCAAAAAGCGCTGTAGTTTATAAAATTGACGAGGCTTTTTTAAAAAAAAAATTTATGCTTCCCCAAATGTGTATCAATTATATAAAGCTATGAGTAATGAATGGCATGAAACAAAGTTCCAACGTTTTCAAGTTTTATTTTTAAAAGAATATATTACAACATTATGTAAAAAAATAGAGGAAAACAAACAAACATGATACTATTTTTTTCCAACTCAATAGTTCTTAGCTCTACCTAGAATCTTCACATAGTTGATGTTAACTTCTTTTGAACCCTTTCTGACTAGTATTTTACCTTATGTATTCTTTATAGTATTTCCATATTATCTCTACCTAGACCTATTCAGAGCATGGTACAGAAAGGGCAGCACAAGCTACTGACACCTTTGTCGGTAGTATGATGTTTTTCATCCAGCTTATGTGAGAATGAAAAGAATGAAAGTGAACATTTAATTTAACTTAGGGTTAATTATGTAGCTCCAGATAATCTCTTCAGAACTCCCCTGCTTCACCTTCTCAAGTTAATCAACAGTGGTTAGTTTAAGACTGCAAACCAAACTGCCTAAAACAGAACACTTTTAAAAATAACAACTTGTTGATTGCTTCAATAACTTCAATAAAGTCAAATTTGCTTTATTTTTCCAAAAATCATGTTGTCAAGACTCTTTGTAGGTGTAAATGTATGATGTGTTATGAGTTCATTAGTCCGTTAGATAGTTGTTAGACAAAAGTTATTAGAGAAAAGTTTAAGAAAATTTGGATTCCAAATTTCCACTGGATAATATATATGAAATATTTTATATTTTCAATATATACTTATCTTTTGCCCACTGTCTATACACTAGAAATGTTTTAAGTCATTTCATTGTGTATATATCTATACTGTATAAAGAAAAAATAAAAGAAGAGATAACTTTTCTTCTAACTTACATAAGAAAACTTCAAAACTGTTTCCTTTTAAAATTGAATTTTTCAAAAGGGAAAAATTATTATTTGAAGGGAAATCTCGTTTTTCTAAAAGGTAAAATATTGGCATTTAACCACAAGGTGGTGCTATAATTCCATGCTGCTACTAGTATTTTATAACTTAATTGATAACAGTTTTTTTTTGTTTTTTTTTTTTTTTTGAGACGGAGTTTCGCTCTTGTTACCCAGGCTGGAGTGCAATGGCCCGATTTCGGCTCACCACAACCTCCGCCTCCTGGGTTCAGGCAATTCTCCTGCCTCAGCCTCCTGAGTAGCTGGGATTATAAGCACGCGCCACCATGCCCAGCTAATTTTTTGTGTGTATTTTTAGTAGAGACGGGGTTTCACCATGTTGACCAGGATGGTCTCGATCTCTTGACCTCGTGATCCACCCGCCTTGGCCTCCCAAAGTGCTGGGATTACAGGCGTGAGCCACCGCACCCGGCCGATAACAGTTTTTTACCTTATAGCCATAATCTCTTATTTTTTATAAATGTACTTCTCTGGCAATTGAAAAAAATTAAACCTAAAAGGCTTCATTAATTCTGGAAATATTTACTGAAACTCTGTTAAATTCAAAATTGTATGTTTCTGTGGGCTAACAGAAAATTTCACTTTAAAGTCTGACGATCAAACGTTTCTTAGAATACTAAAAATGCGGCCAGGCATTGTGACTCACGCCTGTAATCCTAACACTTTGGGAAGTTGAGGCAGGCAGGTAGCTTTAGCTCAGTTCGAGAACAGACTGAGCAACATGGTGAAATCCTGTCTCTACAAAAATAAATAAATTAGCCGGGCATGGTGGTACAAGCTTATAGTCCCAGCTACTTAGGAAGCTGAGGCACGAGACTTCACTTGAACTTGGGAGGTGGAGGTTGCAGTGAACGGAGATCATGCCACTGCACTCCAGCCAGGGCAAAAGAGTGAGACCCTATCTGAAAAACAAAAAAAAAAAAAAAAATACCAAAAGTGCTTTCTTAAAAGTGATTTCTTAAGCTGTTTCAAATTTACAAAAACAAAAATACATTTTTAAGTGATTTCTACTCATAACAATATTTTACATTTGACAGTGAAATACAGAATGATACATGTCTACCATAAATAGATGAATAAATAAAATATAATTAGATGATCCATATAATAAAAAATAAAATACTCTTTTTCCTTCCAAATAATAAAGTCAATTTTCTTGAGGATTTTCTGGGACTGTTACACTTTTATCTATTAAATTTTTAAAAATATAATTTATATAGTAATATTAAAAATAAATTTCATTTTTCCATTGATTTAACTTCAGCTAAGGCTTTTTTTCTCTCAAAATGTATAATTTTTGATCATTTTAAAAAAACAAAACACCACACTGTGTATCTTTTAATGCCAGCTAGAATGACTACATTCTCTGTTATACTGGTCTTAAAAAGTGTTACACAACCGGGCGCGGTGGCTCACGCCTGTAATCTCAGCACTTTGGGAGACCGAGGCAAGCAGGTCACCTGAGGTCGGGAGCTCGAGATGAGCCTGATCAACATGGAGAAACCCTGTCTCTACTAAAAAATACAAAGTTAGCTGGGCGTGGTGGTGCATGCCTGTAATCCCAGCTACCCAGGAGGCTGAGGCAGGAGAATCACCTGAACCCGGGAGGTACAGGTTGTGGTGAGCTAAGATCTGCCCTTGCACTCCAGCCTGGGCAATAAGAGCGAAACTCCATCTCAGAAAAACAAGAAGTGTTACACGACAGAGCACTACAATGTTCACCATGTTTCTTATGGTGAACCTTGAGACCTGTTACCTAGTACAAAAGGAGAATCTTAACCTTAATTTCTCAGTGTTAATTGGAAAGGTATTGCCATTTTTGACTAAGCATGAAATAGCTGTCTTCTTGTTTAATTTTCAATGAGCATTTTTAACTATTCATTATAACTTATTAATCAGTACACATGGCAAGATGGTATATATGAGAGCCTCCTGGGTATAACATGCAAGTTCCAACCGGAATGTTTCCAATAGGATGTAAACCATAGTTCTCAAGCTTGTGGTTTAAAAAACATTAGTTAGCACACTGCCAACAAATGTCAACACAAAAATACAGTGCTGTAATGACTTCACTCTGTATAAGTGAAATATACTGGAACATGAGTTTTTCCTAAAAAAAAAAGAAAAAGTGACACAAGGTAAAGTAGCATAATCATTGCTCAAAAATATTACACGATTTATTCAATAATGAATGAAAAAATTCATAGACCAAATGAAATCGAAATTGTCAAAAATGTTGCAGCATATTAAAATTGTAGAAAGAATTCTTAAAATATACAACATATACAGTAACCGAAGTCCTAGAGTTAATGTAGAAAATCCTACAATTAGCGATTTGAACATTTCAGTAACTCTGCAGTTTCTTCAAACCTGAAATATAACAGACAGATAATGTATTAAATAAATCAATAATTCACAATAAAGCACAGCATTTTAGTTATTGAAATTATGCTTTTTAAGCTAAAATAAATTTGAATATTTTTCTTATCTATAAGTACAGTTACTATGAATAAACTGTGTCCAGAGGGAGGAAAAACAAGAGTCAATTATGAGTCTTGTATTCTTAGAGTGTAAGTTATTTAAATACTTTTTGCATTTCAAAAGAATATTATAATTTTCTAAAGTAGTAGGCTGCAGAATCATCTTACATGCAATTTCGCTTTATATTTCCTTTGAACTGCTCTTTAGAAAACTCACATCATTTGTACTAGATAAAAACATCATTTTTAGTATCATATCAATAACTTGCCAAAAAACATCAGTGATATTTTCACAATAGTGAAAATGTCTCCAAACCAACCATCTACATATATTATTTAATATTCTGATAAATCAGTTATCAAAATAGGTAATACTACTCTTGATTAGTTTCCAACCAAAAATATCTCTGTACTCTAATCTGCAGTTAATTCCATTAACAATTCCAAAAAGTTTTACATCACTTGTTGAAAAGTAAAACAGTGACTCATCTCACAAACACATAACTGTGGGTGAATTTACTATCCAATGGAGTCCTGAAGGAAATTCCACACCTGATAGAGAGACCTTTAAGGTTTGAAACACACATGCACATTCTATATGTACTGTAATCCAGTACAATTCCCTATAGAGAAATAAATTTCTGTTGCCCCTTTCTGTTACTTACATTTTTTTCATCCTTTCCATTTTCTGGATTGTTGTTTCCTTTAATTTAAAAAGCAAAAAATTTAGGTGATTTCTCAAAGTAAACCATCACCAAAGATGGACCCAGAATGTATAAAATACAATCTAAAACATTGCACTAAGTACTGTTTACTTAACAAAGAATTTGAGACACTAAGATTTGTTATTTTTCTTGCCAGCAATATATAGAACTAAAACTAATGCTTGCTTGTTTTCCTAATTTAGAAAGAAAATAATCTAAGCATTTTCTTACCTCTGAAATCTCATTCAAACCACAGTAATTAATGGTAGAGGTTCTGGGAGTTGAATCTGATGATGCCGTACTATAGCCAGAGGACAGAGGAATACTTGCTGGCCTCTCTATTTTGCTTTTTCTGTCTGTGAAAAAATTAAGTTTTAGGTAACCTTTTTCTTTTCACAGAGTCAGATATCTGAAAACATTATTTATAGACGGAAGAAAAACATACTATTTTAATTAAAAATGGCTATCGGTATAGATCAAAGAGTTTTTAGTACTCTTTTAAGGTAACAGCTTACATATGGAAATTCTCATATTAAAAATTGGCCAGTTAAAATTACAAAAGGCAGTATTATTATCATGATAGCAATCAGTTCGAATAAACAGGCAAGTTAATAATTTATTTTACAATATAACCTATTTAATCAATCACATATATTCTTTTCTTAAAATGGTGATATCTACATTAAATAATTAGTATCAATGAATTTGTCATGATGCTTTTATTCAGCAATATTTAAGCATTTCACAAATTTTTTTTACTACTGTTCAGTGGCAAGTGACAACTATTACCATAACTGATCATATGTCTTTTAAAAATCAAGAAACATTCTAACTTGATTTGACATATATGAAAAGAAGTAATGAAAAAAATTTAAGATTCACAGATTTCTTTTTCTAAAAAACTGAAAAACCTAACATTTCAAATATTCTGATATTATTAATTTTACAAAATGATGGCAAATCTCCCCTATAGAAAAACCAGTTAGAGACGATTACAGATAATGGAATAAATCCTACAAACCCTATGTTTTAGTCAGAAGACATTGGGCTGCAAAAGCAATCAAAAAAGAAAAAAAAAAAAAAAAAAAAAGACACCCATTTAAAGTGGTTCACATAAAGACAGCTTTATCGTAAGCCTACACAGACAACCTCAATTAGGGAACAAACTATTACCATGTGAGAACTGAAATAACTAGAAGACTAACTTTCATGTCTCATAGAGCCACGGTCTCTTCTGCCTACTTCTGCCAGTTGCTCCATTTCTCTGCTTTTCTCTATAGAATGGCTTTCTCTGCTGACTCATCATTGAACCACATAGCCAGCCCAGTCCAGGCTCAATATCATTTCACTAACTTATTCGTAGTGTCCTAATTCCAAATCTAAGAGAAGGTATTTTGACTCAACACACTTTGGATTGGTATTCTCTGGGTTAGGTGTCTATTCTTAATCCAATTAGCTAAGCCTGGGGGTCAAGATTACGGGGTGCAAAGCTGAAGACTAGCTAAACCCAGATCTTTTAGCAGGAGCTGTGGACAAGAGGTTATTTTAAGAAATAATTTGAAATTAGGCAGGAACTATATCTACCATGCCCTAAAACTTGGATTATTTTCTATGGGTACAGATAGTTGCGCTGAACATTTCTTATGTCTTTCCAAAAAGAGGAGGGGGCCCTAATATAAGGAAACAGGTCTGGGAAGACAGATAAAGGGTAAAGGAATGGCTCTCTTTGTCTTCCACTTTGGGGTCCAGACTTTGAGCTATCTAACCTTATTCAAGGGTGTGCCTCATGGTGGGAGAAAGCTGGCATTAGGCAGCTGGCAGGCTATACATATTTATTCCTATGGTTAGAGGTTACAGAGTGCACTATTACAGAACACCAGCTATATTTAATAGCCAGATCAGTTAAGTGCATA